GACAGGTCAAAAGTACTGAAATAAAATATTAAATTTACCTTCATGTTGTTTTATAAAATGGGTCCTAATTACTTGTCTTTTTGTTTGGGCTTCATGGTATGTTACCTATGTATATTAATATTGGAAAAACTATTTTGGAATTCTTCACAGCTAAAAACTCTTAAGCATTTACCATAAAAGCACAAGTACATTTAGAAAGAGGTTATTCCTGTCTCTACATCTGAATTAGTGTCACATATCTCTAGACAGCAAAGTGCAGGATTATTTTACTAGTGATAATAAAGTTATAATAGTCACCATTTAATGCACACTTTAACATAAATTAGTCTCCTGCCTAGTACTTGGCATGCATCACCTCATTTAATGTGCATGATAGCTAAATAGAACATCATGGCTCCCATAACTATTTTAGGAGAAGAATTTTTACTAGTGAAGTACATACATGCTGTAAAACTTAAAACATTTTAAGTATATGTTCACAAATACATACATACAGGTACATGCTTAGGAAATTATTATCACAGTAAAGATAATGAACATAGTCATAATACACAAAATTTTTCTTAGTGAACACCTGAATCCATTTATCCATTACTATTGGTCATTCTACCCTGTTCGCTGTTATCAAGTATCCACTGATTTTCTTTTTTGTCTTTATAGCTACGATGTAGAGGAACTTGGCTTTTTGCAAACTAGTACTGCAAATAAAAATAGTGGTTAGCCTTTGGGAAAACAATGTTCCTTAAACAATTAAGCCTATACCTATCATGTAATCCAGCTATGACACTACAGAGATTTGCACATTAATATTTACAGATTCCTTACAGTGTTATGTAACTTATATTTTAAGGGATCCTGTTGAATATGTGACTTGAACCAGACAGACTCTATGTATAAGTAAAAGAAAAATAGACCAATTAGAAACACATAGCAGTAATTCACATTTGGGATAATGATAGATTAACCTGTTTAGCCAATGGGTAGTCAATGGTGATAGTCAAGTGGAAAGAAATGAACGGATTCAGAGTAAAATTTAAGTTTTCTGGTATATTATATGGCTGTTATAAAAAAAGAACTAAGTCCCTCTGACAGGCATTAGTAAAATGAGTTGTTAAATGAAATGAGAGCTTTTGGGAAAGACTAAAGGAAAGGGAAGCTGGGAATTGGTTGGAATACATCAGATTGGGAAGCAAGAGAGGCAGAAGGAATCAAACAAACATTCATCAGAGAGGCAGCAGCTTTTTGAGCACCCCTTTGACGGCTACTAGTAGCTTTGCCAACAGGAGAGAAGACTGGACACTGTATTAAACACAGGGAAACATGGTTTAGATCAGATCCCTAGCATTGCGAGGTGGGCATGAAATATGCTGGAGAACGAGAATAGGCTAGGTAACAAGTAGTACTCAAGGGCAACCCTCAGATCTCCCAGGGATGGGGAAATGAAGTTTAAGTTGGGAGGATGGGGAGAGAGTACTGAAAGAACCTAATAGAAAGGGGGTCTGGTGGAAAAGTAGAGCATGAGAAACATCCAGGAATCTACAGGGATAACTCCAGCTAGCAATCTTAGCAAAAGGGGATATGCAGTCCGAACTGGTCACCTCCTGTGACCAGACAGGGCTACCAGTGGAGGGATTGTGACACCAACCCAGCCACATAGCTTTTGATCTCTCTCTCTCTCTCTCTCTCTCTCTCTCTCTCTCTCTCTCTCTCTCTCTCTCTCTCTGTCTCTGTCTGTCTGTCTGTCTGTCTCTCTCTCTCTCTCTCTTTCCTCTCTCCTGCTGCTGCTGTCCCTGGAGGCCAGTCTTCCCACTCCCTTTTCCCTTTTTATGATCCCTTTCCCTGACAAAATACCCCACCCCTTGAACTCTGTCATTTGGCATCTTTCTCTCTCATGTCACCTTTTAAAAATGACAACAATGATGTCTAGCTATACTCTGCTATAGTGCCTAGCCCAATATTCATTAGAGAGGCTTTACCCAGCAATTGTGGGAAAGAGCTACAGAGACCCACAGTCAAATACTAGGCCAAGCTCATGGAATTCTGCTGAAGAAAGGGGGGAAAGAACCATAGGAGCCAAGAGGGGTCAAGGACATCACATAAAAAAGGAATAATAAATAATAAATAAATACATACATAAATGCCAGAAGAGCCATTACAAATGTCTTGCACACTCTAAGAGACCATGGGTGCCAGCCCAGACTAATATGCTCAGCAAAATGTTCAGTCACTATAGATGGAGAAAAGATACTTAATGACAAAGTCAAATTTAAACAATATCTATCCACAAATCCAGCCCCACAGGAGGTACTAAAAGGAAAACTTTACTCCACAGAAGTTATCTACACCCACATAAGTACAGGCAATAAACAGATTGGTACATAGCCAAATAGTCATCAGCGGCCTCATCCAGAAACTGGTGGAAACAGATGCAGAGGCCCCACAGTCAAACATTAGGTTGAGCTCAGGTAATGCTGCTGAAGACAGGGAGGAGCCAAGCAGGTCAAAGGCATCACAAGAAAATCCATAAAAACAAGCGATGTGGGTTCATAGGCACTCACAGAGACTGAACTGACAACCAGGGATACTGCATGGGACTGACCTAGGACTTCTGTATATAGATAACAGTTGTGTGGCTTGATTTTCTTGTGGGAATCCTAACAGGGGAACAGGGCTACCTCTGACTGTTTTGCTGGGCTTTGGCCCTTTCAGGACATGTGTGTGTAAAGGAAATAATCCAGCCCAGGAGGGAAATCTAAAGAAGAGTTGGATTCTGGTAATGCAATGTGCTATATAGAGCATGATCAAGATAAAGTACCATCATGCTACAAGAGTAAAACAGTGGCAGAGTCAGTGTGAAAAGACACAAGCCAAGAGATGCAATGATGAGAGATTTCTGGAGCTTTTATCTGACTGTGTCTACTTCCTAAATAAATAAGCAAATGTGACTCCAGCGAAAGAATAAATGGTGAAAAGGCATCCCCAGGTTAATGTATCAAACAAAAGGAAAGAAAATGTGTTCCACGGCTACTGAGAAGGATACGGATTGAGCAAGCCAGAGCTGTGTACGAGATATACTGTAGCACAAAGTCCATGGCAATGAGAGTCATGAAAGAATGTGAAGCTAAGCCCAAGCTGTTTCTGCCAGCCTTGTTCAGCTGCAGGGATGAAGGTGCTGGGGAGGCAGTCAGAATGGTGATTTGAAGCAGGGAAAGGAAAAATCAGAAAATTAAGGGGAAAATTTTAAAAACTTGGGAAAGCTGTGTTTCTATTTTCAGCAATGTGAGACCTAAGGCGGCTAGTAGATATTTTACCAGTGAAAGCAATTTAGAAAACAGACATAGGAAAGCATGAAGTGTAGAGTATAAACACGGAACGAAACTGGTAAGTTTTGCTATCATCAAAGACTGCAAATCCCACTGAAGTGCCGAGGGGTGTGCACACTGGTGTTTCTGTTGTCTGTTAGGAACACTGACAGTTAACTGACACTTAGCTCTTAAGGCTGCCCTCTCCATGAGAAGGTTTGGATTTTGCTCAGTCAGGGATCCTCTCATGTTTATTGGTGCTTTAAACTCTTCAGTCATTTGAATTTCTACGGCTTTGAGGGTCTTCCATAATATAGCCATTTCTTACTCTACTCAGTCTCCTAGCCCATTGTTCTTTTCCCATATGTCTGAACTGAATATTGCACCAGGAAAGGACAAGTATGTTTAAGGGCATCTGTGGGAATTTTCATTTTTCTGACTGACTGTCTTGACTGGGCTATTAAGGCAAAGGAGCCATATCTCTCCCTCTATGCAGCGATTTGCTCCGGAAATGCAGAATTGCATTCCTGAATGGATCGTGCTTCCATGGCCAGAGACACGAGCACATGAAAAAAATCAGTGTTGTGTGGTGTGTCATATGTCATTTGAAAAACCAAGCTGCCTAGGTGAATACAAATAGTGCAATTCTCAGATCTCTGCAGAAAGAACAGTACCTCTGCTCAGACATAGGTTTTTCTGATTCTCTGTCTCTCTGTCTCTCTCTGTTTCTCTCTCTCCATCTCTCTGTCTCTGTCTGTGTGTGTGTGTGTGTGTCTGTGTGCGTGTGCTCACACACGCATAGATCACCAACCCCAGTGCTTTGACAAGGGCAGCTAGTAGCATTCCATCTCAGCCCCTGCTATGAACAGACTGGCAGCTAGTTGGCTATCTAAATAATGGCATTTGTTTAAAATAATTCTGTGGCATTAGTTTGGTTCCACTGAAGAAGAACCAGTCTTTTGGAAAATGGGAAACCATATCCACTGAACCAGTGTGGCCTGTTTTAATATAGTCATGTCTCCAGAGTAGTCATGGGTTTCTCCCCCTCCATGTCCTCCCTCTCCCTTCCCCTTCCTCTTCCCCTCTTGCTCTCTACCTCCTTTCCTCCTTCCTCCCCTCCCTTCCTTCTTCCACTTACCTCTGGCACTTCTGTTGAAAAATGCACATGTAGGCACCGAACATATTGGGGTCACAGCACTTCATTACCAACTGAAAATGAAAAAAAATACTTTAAATTATCTCTCTATTAGAAGCCAGAAGGATAGCAGAGTCAAATCTGTGGGTTTTACATTAGGGGCTCTCACTCTCTCTGTCTAATTGCCTTAATTTTCTAAGTTCCATCAAGTCACTGCACAGTTCAAAATATAATTTAAAATGCTCTTTGCTAGCATGTTTACTTTCACCTTTAAACAACAATGACTACAGACACGACCTGGCATTGACCCAGATGATCCACTTTAAAAGACTGAAAGCAAAAGTGACTGAGCAGAGCAGCCTTGCAGGACTACAATGCCCCAAACAGATAAACCAGACACAGCAGTGGCCTTTCAAGGAAACAGGTTCTGATAGCGGATGCTTCACAATGCTGCCGCCTTCTGTTTTCCTGCTTTGGTGACATGTAAGCAGAATGTTTGTCCAGGGCTCACTGGGAATAAGTGTGACTGGCTGCTGCAAAGTGCAGACATCAGCTCTTTGTATAACAGGTAGAAAAACTCCTCCAGTTCCAGATAGACCCTTGACATCACACAGGAGTGAAATGGTGAGTGACAGCTCATGCATAGAACCTAAGCATGTTAGCTTGTGGAAGTAGAAAGTTCTGTTATCAGTGATGACCGGGAGGATTGAAGCGAGAGGGTAGGGGTCGAGATCAGGGTGAGCAGTTCCATTAAGAAGAACAAAGTCTAGCATTTAATACTGTAGCAGAGTGACAAGAGTCAACAGTGGATATTTCAAAGTCTCTAAGATAGGTTTCACTGCTCTCACCGAAAAGTAAATTATAAATGCTTGAGATGACAGATGCACTAATTATTCCAATGTGTTAAGTATACCATATATGATGGCTAGATTAATTATCAACTGGACATAGTCTACAATCATCTTGGAAGAAAGTGAGTTATCAAGTTTAGGTTAGGTTGAACTAAGGGCATATCTGTGGAGATTGGGATTTTGTTTAGTTTATTTTTATGATTTTTAGTTATTTCTTTCAATTTTTGAGATTATAAATACAAAACTACATGCTGCCTTCCCTCCCTCCAAACCCTCTTGTATGTCCCTCCTAGAAGGGTTTTAAATTCATGGCATCTCTTTCATTAATGTATATATTCATAAATACACAAGGACACATGCTCACTCTGTATACTGTTACTTGTGTGAAAGTCAGTGTTGATTACCTTAATCCATGTGGGAACACCCAGTCTTACAGCAGATGCCACCATTCCCTACTTCTAGGCCCTGGACTATGAAAGAGTAGAGAAAGCTAAGGATGAAAATGCATGCACTTGTTTTCCTCAGCTTTTTTCTGTGAATGTGATGTGACATACTTCCTGAAGTTCCCCTATTGATTTCCCTGAACTAATGGAGAAGAAACTTAAATTTGTATGTTAACAGAAACCTTATTCTCCTCATCTTTTAAATTCTTCTCTCATATATTACTTCCTGACTACAATTTCCCCTCTCCACACCTCTCAGTCGCTCGCTCCACGCCCCCCCTGTTGTTTTTTGTCATGACATTTTACCACAGCAATAGAATTGAGGTGTAGAAAACCACATACACACACCAGCCCAGTTGGTCTTTCATAGCACTCTATTGCTCTCTGACACCACGCTATTCCCATTCATGTGTCCCCTCCAAACTACTGGGAGCCATATAATCTCCACACATATTTTCACGTGTGTATTCAATAAGCATCAAAGCACTGGAAAACATCCAAGTATATCCATTTTTTTCTTTTTTTTTTAAATTTTATTTTCCAGTTTAAATTTAGATAAGAATCAAGGTTGCTTCACAAGTCAGTTCCAGGTCCCTCTCCCATTCCCTCCCTTCCTCCCGTGCCCTCCCCCCCCCCCATTATCCCCTCATTTCTCCAGGGAGGGTGAGGCCCTCCATGGGGGTGTCCATAGTGTGTCATTTCATATAGGGCAGGGCCTAGACCCTTTCTGGGCAGCAGATCAGTACCCATCCCAAGTATACACACGGACTTTTGACTCCAATAGAACAATGTGAGGTGCACTCTCACCCTGAACTCTTGGGAAAGTATATCCATTTTTACACAGAAGAAAACAGCAGTACAGGGTCACACAATTTTCTCCAAGTGTTTTAAAATGTCAGTGTCCAGATCAAGGAGTATATAAGCATTCCAAGCATTACAGAAGGCCAACAGGGTTTCATCTGAGGTTAGGGCGTATATCTATGTAAGGAATGCTTTAAGGGGCATTCTACATGAATTCCTTTTCACTTTTTGTCCAGTACTTGCATGAAACCCAAGGTCCCATACATGCTGGATAAATGCTCTGGTGCTAGAGTTAACTTCAACTAATAAACAGAGCATTATTGCATCATCCCTGAACTAACAAATAGAGAAGGATGATAAAAGAGGAATAGGAGTCTTTATATACATAAAACCCAGTAGGTTTTTCATGATTTGTAAAGAAAGTAACAATGACTTAATCATTACACTCAGTTCTTTGAGCAAGTATGGACCACATAAGATCCAAGTAAAATCTTTGTAAGTGGGAGCTGTGCAATCAAGAGAGCACTAATGCTGAGGAAAAATTGCCAGTTCTCCTTTAACTGCACCAGTGTGAGTCTATTATGAAGATTCAGAATTCTAAATAGAACAGTTTAGCTTAACAACACACTCTGACTAATATGGCATTTTTTTTCATTTTTCACATAAATATGGTAACATATCCAAGTACTGGTGTGAAAACTAAATCATATATTTAAATCAGTAAGTAAGCACAGATATGACACACAAATGCTCACAAAAAGATAATTGTTATTATAGATACAGTCATTGTTGTCATTATTTTTAGATGCTACTGAAATACCACAAATGTTAGCTCTTGTCACTGAGGTGTAAATGATTGATTCTGTTTGATGAGAGAATGAGAGGCAAGACTCATTGTAATGGTACACATTACCATATTTCCCCTGTGGGAGAAAAGTTTTAGACAACAAATTTTCTTCATTAATTTATTGAAATAAGAAAAACAATACAAAATGTTAGGTGATGTTATACAATGGATTTTATTTCTCATCTACACAAATTTTGTGGAGTTTACCGAGATACAGTCTTCAAAAAAAATCTTAAAAACTCTGCATTCTGTGAGGTCATTTTAAAAAGATGATATCGTCGGGCGTTGGTGGCACACGCCTTTAATCCCAACACTTGGGAGGCAGAGGCAGGCGGATCTCTGTGATTTCGAGGCCAGCATGGTCTACAAAGTGAGTTCCGGGACAGCCTCCAAAGCCACAGAGAAACCCTGTCTCGAAAAACCAAAAAATAAAAAATAAAAAGAAGATATCATTATCAGGGTGTTCAATTTTATTCCATTGGTCTACCTGTCAATTTTTGTGCCAATAGCAAGCTGTTTTCAGTACTACAGCTCTATAATAGAGCTTGAAGTCAGGGATGGTGATGCTTCCAGATGTTGCTTTGTTGAGTAAGGTTGTTTTAGCTATACTGTGTCTTTTGTTTCTCTACACAAAATTGATTATTGTTCTTTCAAGGTCTGTAAAGAATTTTGCTGGTATTTTAGTGAGAATTGCATTGAATCTATAGATTGTTTTTTGGCAGGATTGCCATTTTACTACATTGATCATACCTATCCAAGAGCATAGGAGATCTTTCCATTTTCTGAGGGCTTCTTTAATTTCTTTCTTTAAAGACTCAAGGTTCTTGTGATCAAAGAAGCTAAAAATATACAATGGAAAAAAGAAAGCATCTAAAACAAATGGTGCTGGCATAACTGAATGCTAGCATGTAGAAGAATGCAGATAGATCCATGTTTATCACCATGTACAAAACTTAAATCCAAACAGATCAAAGACCTCAACATAAATCCAGCCACAATGAACCTCTTAGAAGAGAAAGTGGGTGGTACCCTTGAATGAATTGATACAGGAGACAGCTACCTGAACATAACACCAGTAGCACAGACAGTGAGGTCAACAATTAATAAATGGGACCTCCTGAAACTGAGAAGCTTTTGTAATACAAAGGACACAGTCAGCAAGACAAAAAGGCAGCCCACAGAATGGGAAAAGATATTCACTAACCCAACATCTGACAGAGGGCTAATCTCCAAAATTTACAAAGAACTCAAGAAGCAAGTCTCCAAAACACCAAAGGATCCAATTAAAAAGTGGGTTACAGAACTACACAGAGAATTCTCAATAGAGGAGTCTAAAATGGCTGAGAGGCCCTTGAGAAACTGCTCAACATCCCTAGCCATCAGGGAAATGCAAATCAAAACAACTCTGAGATAGCATCTTACTCCTGTCAGAATGGCTAAAATCAAAAACACCAATGACAGAGGTTGTGGAGAAAGGGGAACACTCCTCCACTACTGGTGGGAGTGCCAACTCATACAGCCCCTTTGGAAATCAGTATGGAGTTTCAGGAAATCAGGAAAATGGGAATCAATCTACCACAAGCCCCAGAAATTCCACTCTTAGGCATATATCAAAAGATGCAAATTCATACAACAAGGACATCTGTACCACTATGTTCATAGCAGCATTAATTGTAATAGCCAGAACTTGGAAGCAACCTAGATGCCCCTCAACTGAAGAGTGGATAGAGAAAATGGGGCACAATTACACAATGGAGTACTATTCAGCAGAAAAAAATAATGGAATCCTGAAATTTGCAGGCAAATGAATGGCCCTAGAAGAAACCATCCTGAGTGAGGTAACACAGTCACAAAAAGAGAAACATGGCATGTACTCTCTCATATATGGATTTTAGACATAGATCTGGGGAGTGCCAGCCTACAATCCCACTGCCAGAAAGTCTGGGAAACAAAATCTTCATTCAATGGCTGATGAAAGCAGAGGCACACTCCCACAGCTAAACACTGAGCTGAACTCAAGGAATCCAGTGACAGAAAGGGAGGACTGATGAGCAAAGGGGTTATGACTGGGCTGGTTTAATCACCAGAAACAGCTGATCTGACAAGGGTTAGCTCTCGAATCCCAGACTGATGGCTGGGAATCCAGCATGGGACTGATCAAGAACCCCTGAATGTGGGTGTCAGTGAGGAGGCCAAGGCAATCTACTGGGCCTTGGGTAGTAGATAAGTATTTATCACTCACATACAAATGGAGTTTGGGTGCCTGTCACATAATTAGAGATGCACTCTTACCCTGTACTCTTGGGGGAGGGTCTAGCCCCTGCCCTGAATGAAATGACAGACTATGAACACCCCATGGAGGGCCTCACCCTCCCTGGGAAATGAGGGAGTACTAGGGGGGTTGGAGGGAGGGTGTGGGAGGAGGGGAGAGAAAGGGAGAGTGACCTGGGATTGATATGTGAACCATCTTGTTTCTAATTTAAATTTAAAAATTAAAAATTAAAAAAGATGATATTACTAAGTACTTAAGTTGTATAATAAAGTTGAAGCTAAGATTTTACTACCTGATGATTGACTCCCATGAGGATATCATTTGTTATCCCCTAATTATCAATTTGAAGTCTTCTTGACAATCACACCAAGAACAAAAATTTTCAAGCACATCTTGTTTAGACAACTTTCAGAACTCTGTTGACTGTATAACTAAATCAATGTTTTTACACCTAAGACTAGTTCTCAGTTCTCTCCATGGGGATTTTCAAAATCACTTCATGTGGTAGTAGAAACTAGTAAAACTGCACGACCTCTTGCTGGGCGTTGATTGGTATTCACATAGCACATCAGCATAATATTGCATGGGATGATTTAAGACAAAGGCAATACCTACACAGTAATTAGCTCCTATAAGCCAAGTCTAAAAAGAGACTGGTATCCATGATTGAAACTATCATTTGTAATACTTTGTTTAGCATGTTGAAAATAAGCCTAAATGGCATCATGAAACTTTGAGCTTTTCTATTACCCCTAAGAACACCTAAGAAAACTGTAAATAACTGGTGTACTATCAGAATTGACAAAAATTCATACATACTAGCAAAAAATGTCTGGCACATGGAAAGTAGTTCAGTTGGTAAAGACTTTGCCTAGTATACAAAAGACCAAGATCACATAAAACTGAATGCTGGACATCTTGTCTTTCTTTTCCTGATACTTTGGACTTGCTTGTGGCATGGGCACCGCACTCCCATTCTCCCCAACATCCACCATCTCAACCCCATTCCATTCCTCAGAGAGGGCAAGGCCACCTATGGAGGATCATCACAGTCTGCCACATCATTTGGGTCAGAACCTAGGCCCTCCTCAGTGTATCTAAGCTGAAAGAGCTATAAGGAATGAGCTCCCAAGCCCATTCGTGCACTAGGGATAAATACTGGTTCCACTGCCAGAGGCTCCATAGACTGTAGACTGTTCAAGCCCCCAACTGACACCAACAGTGTGGGGGATATGGTTTGGTCCTATACTGTTTTCCCAGTTATCAGTCTGGGGTCCATGAGCGCCCACTTGCTCAAGTCAGCTGTTCTGCTGGTTTCCCCAGCATGGTCTTCACCCCTTTGTTCATCACTCCTCCCTCTCCGTAACTGGATTCCAGGAGTTCAGGTCACTGCTTAGCTGTGAATCTCTGCTTCTGCTTCCATCAGCTACTGTGTGAAGGCTCTATGATGGCATTCAAGTCAGTCAAGAGTCTAAAAAGAAAAATGTTCTAGAAGAAGAACCATTGATAATAAAGGCACGTAGGAGAAAGGGAGTCTGGTGCGTATCAAGAAAACTCAATGTACAATGGAGCTGTCATGTCAATATTTAATACAGCCCTGGAAGTCATTGTCATATTTTTCATAAATGTGGACAGAAATAAAGCAAACTAGAGTCTTTTTTCTACATCCAGAGACATATGAAAATCAAGTGCTACCTACATACTCCATAAAATATCTATTTGATAAAACACTGAAACCATTTTATTATCCTTGAATGTCACTAGTTAACCTATAATGCAGTTGAAATAAGTCACAGTTACAACTATATGCAGTTCGAGTGTGAAAAATAATTTAAAATTTGTCTTCAATGAAAAATTTTGGACTAAAATAAGAACTCCCATTTTCCCTTGGTTTAGCAAAGCTACTTCATGCTTGATGACAAAGTTTGGGAAAGTGAAGGCCAATGAGGAACTGCAAAAGAGGAACCAGCTCTAGGACTTATAAAGAATCTGCATTCTTACTTCAGCCCATCCATCTTATGGATGGGTAGATGAGAGTGGGTAGAATCCAGATGGAAGCAACATTTTAAAGCATGCACACTCATCATCCATTTCTAACTGTTGTTCGCTATAGTTGTTGATATGAGCAGATTGTTTGTTTGTTTGTTTTTGATATGCTATCCACATTTGGGATTTGTTTGTACCAGCTTAGCTAGCCTCTGCTTTACTAAATATATTAAGACAGGAAATTGAATTGAACCGAATTCTAAAAACTATTCACTGTAATCTTTAACACTCTGGTACCAATATTTTACTTATTAACTGCATTCCATGGAGAAATACAACTGCATCTCACTGTGCACTTTGGATATAAGATAGAAATAAAGGGTCCATTCGCTATTTAGCTTTTATTTTTAGTTCACACAATGGAAGAAAAAAGAGAAGAATCTTTTAAAAAGAAGAACTTCCACCTAAGAAACTGGATTTATAACACAAAACCTTCTCTTTCTACTATTGTTAATTACAGTGGCAGTTAGGCAGATTTTTACATGAATATGTGAGCAACAAAATTTAGACAGTGCAGAAAGAAAATTAACTGAGCTATATTTTATTATAGCGTGCTACAATAAGAAGGAAAGAGAAATATGAAAAGAAAAAAGCAGGCCGATAGAGAAATATAGATAAAACATTTATCTGTATTTATTTATATAAAAATATTTGCAGATTATTGGGGAGAGAAAAATTAAAATAGATAAGGAAACTTATCTTTGCAATAGACAGAGACCATTACAGTAAACCACAACCCATCCAAACACAGAGTTATAGATGTCAGTTCCAGCTGCTACATCTACAAAACAAGTCCTGTACCAAAAGCTCAAAGGACACTGTGGAAGAGAGAAACAAAGACTCTAAGAACCAGAGCATCATTGCTGAGAGATTGTGTCTCCCAGTAATGCCAGGAGCTACACCTATAAAGTGTCAAAATGAGCTGGACAAGGACAGCAACATTAGACATGCCAAAATGGACAGTGCAAGGCTCAGGAGGGCTCAAGCCAGCACAAGTAACTACAGGTAACTAAGAAAGGCTTAGAGCAGGAGACAGTCTTCTCCGGGAAAGAGCATGTCAACTGATTACCTGATACCAAATTGTCATCGCTGAAAAGATACATACAAGCAACATTACACAAACTGAGTAGGGTGTGTTTATGTGTATAAGAATATATATGTATATATGTAACATAATTAATGTAACAATAATTAATGAAAAAAGAGGCCATGAATTTGAGAGAGAGAGCAGGAAAGAGTATATTTGAGAGTTTAGAGTTAGGAAAGGGAATGGGAAATGGTACAATTATATTTTGTTCTCAAAATATAAATGAAAGGATTTTTTAAAATAGGGCAGAAAAATATTAAAAAAATTAAGACACCAAGAAAACCGGAGATAAATGTTCAGAAGACTGCTTGGAACCCCACATGAGTATCTCTTTACTCGTTGTTTTGATTTGCTTTTAGTCAATGTCCTGAAATTTTCTAAAGTCAGAAAACAATTTAGAATACGTGAACCTTGGTTTCAGTAGTTGACGAGCAAATTGCTGATAAGATGGGAACACCGGTTCCCAATTTCTTTTCTTTTTTTCAGTCATTGAATAATCTCAATGATTATCCTAGGGACATCTTGTAAAATTAAATTCTACCTTTGATTTTATTAAAGGTAAAATAGTCACATAAGTATGTTCCACTTCACTGAAATTACAATTGTTATTTTCTGAGCTTTCCTGAATAATTTTTTGAGCTAGACCAGTCTAGCTCTCATTTCTTAGTGGAATTAGAAATTCAGTGGATTAAAAAGGAACAAAGAAAAACACAGTGAATTCTACTGTGGGCTACTTAATTATTATTTACGCAAGCTTGAAGTCAGACTGAGAGAGAAATTTAAGGTATAATTGTCTACAGATACAGAAAATGATTTTTTAATAATTTTGTTATAACTTTGAAAAAATAAATCATCTGTCGAAAGATTATCTTGAAATACTTGACTGTGAAGGTTCCGCTATCATCAGGTAGATGTTATTTTTGTATTTGCAGGAGATAATTTCCCTTTGTGCGTGCTTCAGCAAGATACAAGTTAATATTAGGAAACTGAGCTTATAGAGACAAGATGTTGGCGAACATAACATGAAAGCACATTTTTAAGGTAAGTAAAAAAAAATCTACTGCTTTGTTTTTAGTTCAAAGCACAATATGAGCCAATAAATTTACCAAAAAGTCCCTCAAGTAGGAGGTACAATCTGCTTATTAGATTTCTCACACTTTTCTCTTTTTCTAAAGAATAAAGGAGAGAAAGTCAGGGTAACACTTAGCTCTGGTACAGAACAATGGTAAGAAACATTAAAATGAACAGCTCAGCAACTGCCTTTTTGTTTGATTTGGATGTCAAGAGAATCAAATGAATTAATGGTTCCCATATGCCAGAGTTGAACTCCCACAAGTTCAGTGCTTTCTACCTCACTAACAGACAACCAGGTATGATGAGGACTGTTTGACTTGACAGTTCATCCAGAGAAATTAAATGTTAACAGGCAATCATCCCAAATATCTTGTCATCTGAATAATTGATTTTCTTTCGTTTAATCTGAAAATATGAATTTACTCTATAATTTCACTCTAGAGCCACAAAATCTAAGAAATGATCAATAAGGTGTTTTCTCATAAGAAGTGCCAAGAAAAAAAAGCAAAAGCAGATCATGATTCTGAGTTCATTTCTTGTGCTACTATTTTTACTGTTTTCTGAGTACCAACAATGTTACTTTTATCCATTTCTTTTTATAGAATATAACCTCCTAAAAGTACAAACTCATGTTCAGTGCCTTTTGCTAAACTCTCTAATAGACTGAAACAAATGTATTTTGTTTCTGTTGTTTCATTTTATTTTTTTGTTTTTGTTTTTGTTGTTTGTTTGCTTGTTTGTTTGTTTTGAGACAGGTTCCCCTGTATAGCTTTGGAACCTCTCCTGGAACTCACTCTGTAGACCAGGCTGGCCTTGAAATCATGCCTCTGCATCCTGAGTGCTGGGAATAAAGGTGTGCACCACCAATGCCTGGCCCAACAAATTATTTTTTATGAAATTAACTCTATAGTCTCTTAATAAATTCTAGCAGAACCACAATTATTCTTAATGAAGTATGAGTAATGAAAATGGAAACTGAGACTGAATGTATCAAATTCATCCATGGAATTTCAGAAAACTCTCTAATGTTAAAGACAAATTTTGAACTTCCAAACTTACAGTATACCAAGTTAAATAGCACATTTTATGATAATCTCATGGTTTACATGTTTACTTCAGTTTTATTTGCTTTGGAAAACAAACCCTTGATTTCTGAGAGAAGTAAATAATGTGGCTGATTTTAACCATACTATTCACTCATTCAAGCTTCCCCCAAATAGAGAAAAGGTGTGCCAACTCAGAAGGGTTCCACATGTATCAATCACTTAGGAACACGAATTCATGAATTCATTTTGAAAATCCAGTTAGTACACTTAGATCAAAATCATGTTCTTGTACTTGCTGTGCATGTGAAACTGTTGTGAATTAAATTTATGCTGCTGTGAGACAGAACCAATGTCCTTGAGACTGCCTACACTTATACATTTTCCTTCCAACGCTTTGTTTCCTTGAATGAAAAGTTAGAGATTTTTTTTATTTTATTTTATCAAACAAGTTACATAACCCTACCATGTATTCCTCTTACTTATTTTAGGTTCCCGTTATATATTAAATTACCTGCTGAACAAATGGCACTCATAAAGCATGAGTCCCCATACAAAGGATTTTACCTGCACTGTTTTATGCAATCATCAGAACTACACTCTTAACATAAACTGACATTTGATTCTTTTAATAAATAGAGGAGTATTTCATTATCATATGACTAATATCTGTAGAAGGGATTTCAGACAAGTTTTAATTCTTTTCCAAAGCTTATACCATGAACAGAATATACTTCTTGAGATAGGAAAGAAACTGCAAATTCTTACAAGTCTTTTTCTTTGTCTGTTTGTTTTTAGATTCAGTGATAAACATGTTCCATAATGACCTTGACAGTCACTAAAGATTTCGATGATCAACTCAGGTAAGAAGCATGTACGATGGCAGGGGTCAAACCCATTGTCTGCCAAATAAAAGTTACTCAGTTCTCTGCTTACCTCATCTTCCTGTACCCAGTTTCCAAATTAAGTCCACAGAATGACAAATAGCTTAATGATCCTGTACAATCCAAGCAGACAGGAATGTAATCACGCAGTCAGCATTTTTCATCATCTAAACCATATGTTTATCTTTAGAGAATAGAATTTGTTTAGACTAGTCATATTTTGTAATGTGTTGTATATCATTAGGAGATAAGACTACCAGCTGTTGGAAGGAAATGGGAGCTTTACTAAAAGAATCCAATGGAAGGAAGTGAATGAGACAGACTGATGATAGGAAAGGACTCTAGTCTAACCATTCCATGTCTCATCCTATCTCTAATTTTTATTACTGTGTTATATACCTTTAAAGAAGATTTTAATATCTTTGTTCGCATCTCTATGAAGTGCTATAGTGTGAAGCATTGTAGCTGTATAAAATTAATTCTTGAAATGTTCTGCAAAATACTTGGCACTGAAAACAAGTGTCCACATCAAAATGTCACCAACCCTACACAAGACACAGTAATTCTAATCTTGAAGAAACCTTAGTCAACAGGTCATATCCAAGACAAAGTATAAAGATCACATTTAGCCAGGCAATAGTGGCGCATGCCTTTAATCCCAGCACTCTGGAGGAAGAGGCAGGCGAATCTCTGTGAGTTTGAGGCCGGGCTGGACTGACAGCCTCCAAAACAATATAGAGAAACCCTGTCTCGTAAAACCAGAAAAAAATCACATCTATTCACACAGAGCAGATGTATTAATGTAGGGTAGTTCTTTTACTATAGCCATAAGCAAATACCTGCATTATATTTATAGCATGAAATTAAATTCCCACAAAACCCTATAATTTGAGAAAAACCCAACATGGCTAACAGGGTTTTCACTTAGCATCTAAATGACCTGGCTAACCAAATGTATACTGTTCCTGTGTATGGTCTTCAAGAACATTTTTGGAAAATGTAAATGACGTGGATGCTTACACTTTATTGGCCAAAAATCTATGATAGTCACAAACCACAGTGGGAAGTCATTGTGATATACAAACAAAAATCCAGGGAATAGACTAAAGGAAAACATGCACCATCTACCACAATAATATTATTCAAATTGCAGCATCTTAGTAAACAGGAAGTTCATCCAGACTATGGATTTCAATATCTATACTTCAGAATGTGATTATGAGTGTCCTGTTCAAAAGTGCCTGTCACACACATAAAACATTCAGTTTATGTTCGTGTTTCTTATAGACTTAGGCTATTATTTATCCAAAGAATGCATGAACGGAAAATCTTCACCTAGGATATTTTGTTAATGAAAGAGGGTGCTTTAAGCAATGTTTTATGTTTGTCATGCCATCATAATTGTGAGCACTGGATATACAAGCTTCCATCATCACACTGTTGCCTGGAAGATTGGAGAAATTGCTTCTCCACTTGGTTTTAGACAAACATTCTGGTGACAACATATCAAGTGTAAATTACTAGATTTAATATGTCATTTGTGTCATTACTGGGTACCTTCATAGAGTTCCAATCCTTGTCATTCTTTTTAACAAGCAGAGAACTGGCTTTTTTTTTTACTTGCTGTTGTTAATTTTCTTCTTTCTAATTCAAGAGGATGTGAAGTTATTCATCAGTGAGAACAGGCTGGAGTTAAGGCTTGACATTAAATAACTAAAGCCAATCTTCTCAACTTGCTCAACTGCTGGTTCAAAGCCACGCGTATGAAATTCTCAGGACAGATTCCTGAACTTCACTTGATATTCATACACCCCTCCTGACTTCTTTGGGAGTCTCTAAGGAAAGCAAGTTCTTATCTGCAAGTGAAAGACCCCTACCTAGGGCCCCCTAGGAAAAGAAAAACAAGGCCAAGCCATTGCCTAATGAAAAAACCCAGACCAGGTGCCTCGCCCTCAAACAGGATGTCTGTGATCACCAGAGCAGTCATGGGACCCGGATAATGATTGCTGAAGCATGCTAGGGTCATACCAGAATACCTAGTCCTTGCCAACTACCCCTGCTCCCAGTTGTGTCTATGATCACCATAGTAGTCATGGGACCTGGATAATAATTGCTGAAGAGTGTGGGGGTCTTTCCTGAGGTAACACCAGGAAACCTAGTCCGTGGGAACTACCCCTGCCCCCAAGATGACCTCATCCCACGCTTAAGTAGCCAATGAAATGCCTGTTACTATGCTGATACTTTTGTAACCATTAAGACTCTATAAATATTGTACTCCCTGCAAGCCCGGTATGCTCTGCACCGGAGTTGCAGTAGCATCCACTGGTGCCTGTGTACTCAATAAACCACCTCTTGCTTTTGTATCCAGTGGTCTGGCCCCGTTCTTGGGCAGAGGGTTCGGTTTGGTGCCCGGCGCTACGGTGTCAAGGTTTTCCACAAGTAGATAACCTTTGGGAAGATACGTATATATTGTCTTTTATTATTAAGTGAGGTACCAGCAAGCAAACAAACAAAAAGTGGTATTTCAAAACTGCAGGTCTCTCTCTCACTTGTGCTGATGGAGAAAGTGGAAAGTAATCACAGAGACAACACAGAGAATCACGGGATGCAGAACAAAGCTTTGAGTTCTTTTAAAGCAAACATTGAAGAAAAATTTTGGAACATTTTTGTTTCTCAGAGAAACTACCATGAAGGTTCCTCATTTGATCCAAAGGAAGTTGGATGCAAACAACTGGCAAAGAAAGATACAATGAACCAGTGATCGGACATGCCTACTGATGGCCATTTTGTAAAATAAAACCCTTTGAACAACCAAAGGCTATTTTAAAAGAATTGCTGATTCTAAATGAATAGCTTCACTTTGCTGTGTTTTCTACTCTTGTATAGATCATCATCACTATTTTTACTTTCTATTTTCGGCAGAAATTGGAGTTAACCTTTTGTTCCATCTGCAGCCCGCCTTCTGAAGCGGCACCACCTCCTTTTCATTATTCCTTTCAAAAGCACTGAAATTTGCAAAATGTGCCATTTCCCTCCCTCACTCTGTGGAGGAGTAGCAGAGCTGGCTTTTCAAGCATGATGACGCCTAATAATTGAAGGAACTTGAGGACAAAAATAAGTACCCAGAGCAAGCAAGGAATATGCAAAGCTGGAGCAGGTGTGATCACAGAGGCAGCCCCCACCCCACCCCACACACATGCATTCATGGGTGTTCTCCAGGAGCCTGGGGTGGCACCTGGAACTCGCCAGCCACAGGACTCACTACAGACTTTAATCCTCAAATAAAAACAAAGTGTTTTTATGGAGATGTTATTCACTAAATCCCTACCAATTAGCCATGCATCATTTCATGCTGGCTTATATGATGTTTCTCAAAACCACGGCCTGCTCTCCTGGTTTCTTAGTATAAGTTACTGTTAATGAGGCAAAGTTCAGTCACTAAGCATTTTTTGGACAGGTATGAGGAGTCCTGTAAATATAAAAGGAGGAGTGAAGTCCCCATATGACTGATATCAGATTATGTATGTTACATAATTTCCCCGAATATGCTATGACCTTTAAATACACACATGCCTCATTTAGTTGGCATTTCTACACATTAAAATATAACTGTAAACATAGATATCTATGTTTATAGAATATATGTTTATTCATCCTTAAAAAATGTTCAAAGCAATTAAATAGTCACAATCACTCCACAGTAATTCTGATACACCAGCATCACAACAAGCTACACATGCCTGGCTATGGCATGCGGGACAGTGTCATAAAGGTCTTGGTCAGGAACTGACAAAAAGTAGCTTGTAGGCAGCAAGCACTGATGGGTGATTCTGATTCTATTGTTAAAAAAAAAGATAAGGGTCAGAACTGTTCATCAAGCATTATGTCCTGTCAATTGATTGACAATAGAAACTATCTACAGAGATGTGGAAAGTCACACTATAAGGTATAAATTTGTATTGTAGATTAAGAGTTCAGGGCATGAGAAGAGCCTAAGCAGTCATGTAATCTCAAAGACAAAACAGAAATCTGTACCTAGAGTTATTTCCTACCCTGTGTCATATAACCAGCAACAAAAAGCAATACCCAACCTCAGAGGTCCCTGCACAGGAACCTGGATGCTTATGATACACTGAGTCAGTTTGAACAATCAAAAGACAATAGCATATGCTGAGGAATGTAAGTAATAAATTACTCTTACAGCTGTGAAGGCTAAGAAAGTTCAAACTGAGGTACCAGCATATCTAGTGATTAATGATGGCCTACTACCCTGTTCATAGGGTCCATCAGCTTAACAGAATTGATCATTATCTAGAATAGGAACCCCGGGGTATGACTGTGAGGGAGATTCTAGGTTGGGTTACAGGAGGTTGGGATGCCCACTGTAAATATGTGTGGGAGCAGAGTCATTGACTGTCAGGATCCATCGTTATATAAACTTTAAAGGCTGACAAGAGCCCAGGCAAACAGCCCATTCAGCCTTTCCCTACAGGAAGATAGCTTAGAGAAGGAATATCCTGTGGTAGCTGAGTGACCTCCTGATAGAAGATCCTGGGTTCACAGGAATAATAGCAATCTGCAGTTAGGTTACTTAATAACCCTCCTTCCTGCAATTAGGTTATTCAGGGACTCACCTGGTGACCTCTACCCTATTAACACCTTGATTCCTGCTGCTCAGCTTCAGTGATGGTCTGCAACTATCAACACCCCTTAGTACATGACCAAAAACACTCCTTGGTACGTGACCAAGAACACTCCTGGGCCCGATTACTAGGCAACAACCCCTCCCTTATTGTCCTGCATTTCTCTGCCCCATCCTCCTACCTCATTTCACCTATTTAAGCCTGTACAAAACTCTCATCAAATACAGCTTGATCAGTCATGTTGTCTTGCTGTCAACTTCTCTTATCTCTTGTCCCGGCATCCCAGATTCCCGTGGGCTCGACCCCCATTATGGCCTGCTGGCCAGGGCAATTGACT